ACTGGAAGTCTTTAAGAAGATGTTGGATAGCCATTTGTCTGAAATGGCATAGGGTTTCTGCCTAGGCAGGGGGTTGGACTAGAAGACCTCCAAGGTCCCTTCCAACTCTGCTATTGTGTTGTATTGAAGCCATTTTGTGATTGTGTTGGTAACATATCCATCTCTCTAAAAGTGTTATAACCCCCATAGGTAAGCAGCAAAAGCCCCAAAGTGGGATAGAAAGATGTAAGGTACAATGATTCTTATAGATGTTTTAAATCTAAGACGATTACAGACGATGTTTCATTCATGGGTAGAAGTAGGAATTCCTATAAGAATTTCCAAGATAAGGGTAAACTTACAATTAGAAAGAAATTCTGAATGCACTAGTATCCTATAATTTTGGGTAATGTAATCTTTGGCAGTTTTTGTTTGAAAAAGAAAGCAAAAAACTGTAGACCTATTCATGAAGAGTAAAGAATACAAACTATTATGTATGAAGGTTATTTTTAAAAATTTAGTGCTTAATATCATTGTTTCTTGAAGAACATTCCTTGACCTTACCTGTATAACCTTGCTGTCCAGTATAGATTTTCACTGTTCCCAAAATAAAACAAAATTCAAAAAATAGTTACATAGATGTTGTATTTTGAAGGAGAATCTTACCACTGCTTAGTAAAAATTACCCAGAACATTTATTTTTATGAGGCTTTTGTATATATGGACCTTTAAGTACTAGTAAATGCATTATTTAGTCACATATTCTTTCTTTGCCCAGGTATGTAGCCTTTGATTTTCATAAAGAATGCAGTCGTATGAGATGGGATAGACTCCAAATTTTACTGGATCAACTTGCTGCACCACAAAATGAATATGGGTAATATATGCAACTGAAATACAGTAGGCAAACATATCATTTTGAATAGCTGAAGCTGCCTAATAGCAGATGTCTGATGTTCCTATTTCTGCCCCCCCCCCCCCAAAAAAAAACCCTCACTCTTTCAGGAATGTTTTAATAAGATGATCTAAGCATATACCTATATAGGCTGAAATAGAAAACCCTGGCTTATTATTGACAAAAGTGCACATCCATTTGAATTTGTATAGGATTGTAATTCAAAAGATCCCATTATCGGGAGATTTGAACCAATGTCGCGACGAGACAACGTGCGGTCTCGATTGTCCGAGATCCCTGTTGATTCTTTTATTGCTACGTGGTCCCAATGGACCTAAGCCATCCCGTAGAGACGGTGACAGGGAGACAAAGCCTTGCTGGTCTCAAGGACATCGCCTGATTGACCCAAGGGAAGCTCTCCAGGTTAGCGATAAACAGACAGCCCCGTGCTGACAAAGTCGGAAACAGCTTTGGAAAGAAGGCAGTGAAAGTGAGTCCATCTGGTGAGATTTTTTCTTTGAGAATGATTGCCCAAAGGAATTCTTTTGTTTAAAGATAAATTAGTCCCTTAAGCAAAGAACAAAGCGGCGCAATTTATCTTTATTGGACTGCCTTAGAAACTTTTTTTTCCTTTTTCTTCTTTGTAACGATGTTTTGTGGATTGAAGTGATTGTAACCTTTCCTGTTTCTCTTCGCAAGTGAACAAGCTGTTTTTTTTTTGTCTTCCTATTTTTAGCAGCCTTATTTGTTGCCTTGAACTAAAATTTCTTTTATCCTATCAATTCTTCTTATTACTTCTCATTGATTCCCATTAAAGACATTAAAATTCTTTTATTTTTTACAAGCCTGAGACAAATGGGAGTAAAATCGAATCTGCCACTTGGAAGCCAGAACGGTTTTTGTTTTTTTTCTTGAAACATTGCATCCTTTGTTCTTTCTGGTTTTGATCTTATTGACTCTGTAACTGTAAAACATTCAAGGGCACGGTTGTTTTTACAGGTGTCTTTTTGAAACACTCTTGGTAAGTGAAGGAAAAGGAAAGAGAAAGATAGATCCCTTCCTTGTTGAGGAATGTGAAAGAACTTGTGGTTAATTCAATTTAAAACATAACATTATATACACTAAAGAGATTTTAAAGGCTAAAGTGGCAGTGGATATTAGAACTCCCCCTTCTTTTTTCTCCTTGTTTTTTTCTTTTTCTTTTCTGGAATCATGTATCAATTTTCAGATGAGGGAACCCTACGTTTTTTGGCTGGAATTCAAAAGATATTGGAAGGATTTGAGAGATTCAACAAGAAGTTGGATAGGTTATTGTCCTCTACAGCAAAAGATGATGGACTTGGAGCCCCCAAAATTAAAGAAATGAATGTAGATGGAGAAGACCAAAATAAGATAACATATGATCTTACTGATGGAGCAAACATGGGTGAAAGTCCAAAGAAGAAAATATGTAAAAGTGAACCTGATATCCTGGAGTTCTATCCCCCTGTTCAAGTTATAGGGAGGGGGAGGGGGGAATTGATGATGATGGAGTCAAGAAGAGAAACCATTTTAGAAATATGTTTGACAATTAAAGATATGTTAATTTTAATACCAATTCAAGGGCAACAAGACTCTGAGAGATCTTTTAAGAAACAAAGTGCTGAGAGAAGTTCATAAAAACCTCATAAAGGAATTAATAAGAGGATTGATGCAACAACTGACAGAAGAAATAAGACTGTTTTCCTACTGCAAAGACACAGGCTGATAAACGAACTGTTGATGGGAAAAAATCTTAATTTTTGGTGACTAATAGCTAGGAATTCTAGTATTTTGTAGATTCCTTTAGATTGTTTTTAAATGTGTTTTTCATTAACAAGTAACTCATTATGATAATAACAATGACATAATAATTCTAACTAGTAAAAACATCTTGGATGTAAATAGCAAACTGGGATCTGGGGAATTTTTTTTTTATGAATGTACCTAACAAACTTTTGTTTAGATTTGTTACAAAGAGGTAATTTTTCTTTTGTCTGCTGAGAGGAGAGGTGATATAAACAATAAACAAAGTTACATATAACAATAATGATGACAATAATGAAATAATAATTTTGACTAGTAAAAGCTATTTGGATATAAATTGCAAATTGGGACCTGGGAAGAAGACTTATACATTTTTAAGCAATACATTTTTGTTTAGATTAGGTATAAAAATGAAATTTTTCTTGGGTCTGATGAGTGGAGATGTGATATATATAGCAAATCTTTAATTAACTACAATAACAACAAGGAAACGTTAATGTTTAGTGGGATCTACATGTGCTGGCAGTAGAGGGGGGAATGCTTAGATATTTTATTAACTGATTTCTTTGTTAGAATAAGTCACCAGGTGTAATATTACTGGAGGTTTATTGAAATTGCTAATAAATGCCAGTAGGTAGTTGTGTTTTTTAAATACAAAGGGTTTCAGATAAAAAGCACGGTTAAATAATTTTAGTTGAATGAGAATTGTGGTACATAGATAGCAGTAAAATATATGAAGATTTCAGAGGTAAATTGTACAAGTCAATATGAAGGAAGTATATGTAATGATTGTGGTAGAAATGCACAAAAACTATTTGTAACATGCTTTCTACAAGATGCAATGAAAGATGATTCTTTTTTTTATTTTGTTCAGTTAAAATAATAAAAAACTTTAAAAAAAATATCCCATTATCTTTCTCACTCTATCTAAGAGTGTAAAGATTTGTCTGCATTTTGTTTGTATAATGTACTGTTTCTTAATTAAATGTATAGATAAATCTGGATATATTTAAATTTGCAAAAAGTTGTTAGGAAGTTAGCTAATTTTATTTTAATTTCTAAAAAATATAAATAGTCTTCCATTAGAAAAATGGCTCAATGCTTATTTCCAATTGCTTATAGGTTTGTAAATAGGTAGTTCTCGGCATGATCAAATTGAGCACAAAATTTCTGTTGCTAAGAGAGACATTTGTTAAATGAGTTTTGCCCCGTTTTACAACTTTAGTTGCCACAGTTAATAAATGAATCACTGCAGTTGTGTAGTAACACAATTGTTACGTGAATCTTGTGGCCCCATTGACTTTACTTGTTAGAAAATGATCACAAAAATCTGAGACACTGCGACAGTCATAAATATGAGTCAGTTGCCAAGCATCTGAATTTTGATCACATGATAATGGGAATGCAGCAATGATTGTGTGGAAAATGGTCATAAGTCATTAAATAAACTGTTGTAAGTCAAGATTTCCCACTTACAAACCTATAAGCAATTGGAAATAATCATTAAGTCATTTTTCTAATCTGATATAGTATATCTTTAACCAAGGAAGCTCTTGATAAAGACAGTTGTATATTTAAACTTTGTTGTGCTTCAGTGAGTTGTCTGTAGTTACAAATATAGTTAGATCTAATTCATTCTACTGCTGTTAGTAAGATACCTTGGAGGTTTCTTTGGCAGACAAAAGATGAAGATTAGTTGAAATCAACTGATATTTTTTATTAAGGCAGTGACAATAATATTTCTTTGTTTTGGTTCTGTGGATATATTAAGCCAAAATAAGTGTTATTTTGTGAATTCTTGCACAAAATAATAAGCACTTTATTTTTTTATTCAGCTATTTTCTAGTTGATGCAGAAGGGAAGGTAGATACACAACAGGAAGGAATATTCCGCAGCAACTGTATGGATTGCCTGGACAGGACAAATGTGGTTCAGAGCCTTTTAGCACGCCGTTCTCTACAATCACAGCTGCAGGTTAAGATTGCCTTCTGTATAAGGACTTCTTCCTCATATTTTAAGAATTAAAGAACGTAATAACTCTAATAGCCATTCAGTAAATAAAATGTATTTTTCCTGAAAGTGATATATTAGAATATGAAAATATGCCTCTGTTTATGGGTGTATTCTGAAACAATTAATTCTAATTTCCATGCTTTTAAACTCTTAGCAGAATTTTAGTTAATAATGGTTTCTTTTGTTCTTGTAGAGATTAGGTGTTTTGCATGCTACCCAGAAACTTGAAGAACAAGCAGAATTTGAGAAAATTTATAAAAATGGTGGGTTTCTATTTTGATAAGTAAAACCTTATCCTGTATTCTACTTACTTGCCATCTCTTTTTTACAAAACACTATTCTCTGTTCATAGCATGGGCTGATAACGCAAATGCTTGTGCCAAACAATATGCTGGAACGGGTGCCTTAAAGACAGACTATACCAGGCAAGTTTGAGCCAGACTTTCTTTACCACAAATATATTGATACAATTTCAGAAAGAGTATTTAGAGATTGTTCATTTACTGATTTATTAAACTCAGTTATCATAGTATAATAGTGTAATAGTTAACAGCTACATCAGTGGAAAAACTTGAATTAGAATGGGCATACTTTGTCTAACCAGCCTAATAGGTATCTTAAAGCAGCTTATGGCAACTAGTGATTACTAATAAAAACATACAAAAGATCCAGAAAAAAAGAATCTTAGTAAAATTTGTCTTATTGTCAGTCAATCTAAAGATACATCTTACATTGGGTTGACATTTGAATGGCTGAAAACTTTTTTCAAGATTCTTACTTCTAATCTTAGTTATTCTTGTTTAAACCATCAATGGAAATATATTATCATCTTAAGAAGATAATTGTATAGCAGCTACTAAATAATTAAATTCATAAGTAAACTAAATCACTGTAGGAATACCAACATAATAAACTTTTTTGGATACATTTTGCATAAACAAGGATGAACTATTATGAAATAAGCACCAGCAATCTAGGCTTTGATATAAATTTGCAGGAAGAGAAAGACAGTTTTCTCAAAAGGGTCTAGGAGAATTTGGCCATGTCAGCTTGGCGTGAGTAGCTCGCCCCTACCAAGCTCTTGGCATCACTCTGCTCAACTGCTCACTCACCTACTCACCCAACTCTCCCTCTGGGGGGAAGCCCCTGGCCACTGCTCTGCACTCTGTCCACCCTCTTGGTTGCCTGGCTGATTGGCTTTCCTTCCAGCTGCCCACAGTGAGTTGTCCCTGCGGCAAATTGACTGTGTTGAGCTGTCCTGCAATGACTTGGTAAGTTGGCAGAGGGAACTTGGCAGTGGCGAGCTGGCCATGCCTAGCTGTCCCATTCAATTCTCAAAGGGCATATTAAAATTTGCAAGGGCTTTGTCTGGAATTTTTTGGTTTCCCTTTTGATTGAGAGCAAAAAGAAAAATTATCTAACTTCAAAAACAGATATAATTATAATAGCCTAAATAAGACTCAGCCTTCCCTTTTAATCATGAAAGTAACTCTTACTGGAAGAGCAGTATAAATAAAATTAATGCAAGTAGTTCTTAACTTGCAACCACAATTGAGCCCAAAATTTCAATTGCTAATAAAGATAGTTGTTAAGTGTGTTTTGCTCCATTTTATGATCTTTTGCCACAATTTTTTAATGAATCATTGCAGTTGTTAAACTATTAACACAGTTGTTAAATGAATTTGACTTTCCTATTAAATTTGCTTTTCAAAAAGATTGCAAAAGATGATCACACGATCCCTGGACACTGCAATAATCATAAATACATGCCAGTTGCCAAGGGTTCAAATTATGATCATGTGATTATGGGAATGCTACAATGGTTGTAAGTGTGAAAAATGGTCATAAGTCACTTTTTTCAATGCTATTCAAAAGGTTACTAAATGAATGATTGCAAGTTGGCTATCTAACGCATGCATCTCATCTATATATTTACAAAAATAAGTCAATGCAAGGAATTTCAATACTGTTCAGTTTCTAATATAGTTGGTATTACATTTCTGACCTTTTGAGAGATCTTCCGTATTAATGTTGAAATCCTATTTTCAAAAATTCAGAACTGGAAAGAGAACACAATGGGGTCTATTAATGGATGGTTGGAACTCACTAATTCGTTACTATAAAAACAACTTTTCTGATGGATTTAGACAGGTAAGGTTTCCCACTCACCTGCTGCATTTATTTAGCTTTAACTGTTGCCTTGTGTTTAATTTAAAAGAATGTCATCACTGTGCTCAGGAATATGTAATATTTATATTTCATATTTCTAAATCACCTACTGTAAATCTTTCAAAGAAATGTTGCTGCTTTGTTAAATTGTTACAAATTGGGCTGCGTTTGAAGACCATGAATTAGTTTGGGGTGTTGGGAGTAAATGATTAAGATGACATGTCATTTAATTTATATTCTGGATTGTTTTTCAGGATGCTATAGATCTCTTTCTTGGAAATTATTCAGTGGATGAAGTAGATTCTCTCAGTCCTTTTCATATACAGAAAGACTGGAAGTTTTTGGCTGTAAGAACTTCATAAATGTTTTGCTATTTGTTTATTTTTTTACAAACATTGTTGAGTTTGGTTAGACTAATGAAGTTTTGGGAATACAGGTCTTTCAGCACTTCCAAATGTTGTTTGACAAAATGTAGGACATATTTTAGGATATAAATATTCATTGTAAAGGAGAATCCCAAGGATTTGTTAGATGAGTCTCATTTTTTTTTCCTAAGTGTTGAGAGTTATGTAGAAATTCAAACAATTTTGGAGATGAAGTTTAAGTCTTGCAGTAGCCTGGTTCAGGCTGCCATAACTTGGCTTCCTGTCTGCTAACATATCACCTGCTTTAGAGATATTTCTAAATATCTCTAAATTTCTATCTAACCCCAACTATAGCCAGTGACTTTCAAACAACGCAATATTTGAAAGAAAGTTTAAAACTGTGGAATCACATCTTGGTGTATTTGGAAGATTTTAGCTGTAATTTCATGGGTTATACTAGACAGAATGAAATAAAATGACTTGATTATCATAGCTTTGTACTTTGTACTTAAATGTGTTGTATAGTTTGTTAAAGGTAGAGGATAGCAACTGGAATTGCAGAAATGATTTTAAATGTTAAAAAGGGATTGATGCACTGAATGCAGCTTTTTTCCTCTCAGCTTTTTTTCCATCTATGCAACTTATGAGATTAGAAAAAGAAATGTAAATTAATAATGGGATTTTCTTGTTTAGTAATTCGAGAGAAAATTCACATGACAAAAAGCTGCACTTATGTATTGCGGGCAACAGTAATTCAGCAGCCTTTTAGTTTGTGTTTTTAATAAGCTTCATAGAAAAAGCAGAAATAAAATAAGAGGAGTATAGCGAGGCTGGCAAACATTTGTAGTCAAGGCCTCCTCTCTTTTTAAAAAAAGTCTAAAGAAACTGGGAAGTTATTGTGGACAAGCATTCATGCCTATTATTTGAGAGAGAAAGAGAATAAATCTTTAAAAATATGTTTTGCTATTCTACTTAAAAACAATAAAAATGGTACTGGTAAATTTTGTGCAACCTTCAGCTTGCCAGTCCCTGTGTTATGATAGAAATGTGCAGAGGACACAAGAATGGAGTTACAGGGCAAGTTTCTTGTTTGATGACCAACTCTACTTTTTCTTTAAATTTGTTTAAAGAGAATCTAGTTCTTTTAGAACTAGATTAAACATGTAACTTAGCACCATTGACAATATTTTATATGTTATATACTTTATATGTTATATATGTGTTATATATGAGAAATGCAGTGAGCGAGATTTTTTGCAGCATGCAACATCATTTTTGTGTTTGGGATGCATAATAGATTTTCATAATGACATAAGTAAAAGACATACAGGTAGTCTTCAACTTTCAACAGTTTGTTTAGTGACCGTTCAAAGTTACATTGGCACTGAAAAAAGTGACTTATGAGCATTTTTCACACTTTTGACTGTTGCAGCATCTCCATGGTCATGTGATCAAAATTTGGATGCTTGACAACTAGATCATATTTATGATGGTTGCAGTTTCCTGGGGTCATGTGATCATCTTCTGACAAGTAAAGCCAATGGGGAAGCCCGATTCACTTAACAACTTTTACTAATTTAACAACTGCATTGATTCACTTTACAAATGTGGCAAGAAAAGCCATAAAATGTGGCCAAACTCACTTACCAAATTTCTCACTTAATAACATAAATTCTGGGCTCAATTATGGTCATATGTCGAGGACTACCTGTATTCTAAAATATTATATATGTTCTTCCGGACATTAAGGGGTGATATATACATTGTGACTTTTAAAACTTTTTGGGAGCTGAAGCTATAAAACCATACATTTGGATTCTGTATGTATATCATATACAACTAGACTTTCAAATTGTTATGCATTGTGCATTACCTTCTAACTATGTACATTTCTTTCTTTCTCCAGTTACCTATTATTATGGTAGTTGCTTTCTCGATGTGCATTATCTGTTTGCTTATGGCAGGTAAGTAATCATTCAGCCTTTCTACACATCATACTGCAAGTTATTTTTGACAAGACCTATCACTTGGTGACCAGTTACAAGAAGATTTCCCTGGGATACTTACTGTGTTTCTATGAAATTAAGACTGGGTCTTACTTTTTTGGACCAAAAGACCCATTAGGTGTTATTTTCAGGGCGTCTTATTTTGCAACTGTCCACCCACTCCCTCCCACCATCTACTTTCCCACAATTGCAATGGCTTACAGGGCTTCCCACGGCAGACATACTTTTCACTCGAGAGGGAGAAACGATGGAGAACTTGAAACTTTGTCTGCTTGCAAATGGGATGCTTTGAAATGGAGCTAAGCACATTGAGATCTCCTGCGTTCCCCCCCACGGCTCTGCCGTGTACTTTTCACCCAGAGGGATATGAAGCTTAATCTGCTTGCAAATGAGATACTTTGAAATGGAGCGATTAGCTACATTCAAACCACCCCATTTGCAAGCAAACAAAGATTCATCTCCTTCTGGGCCAAAAGTATGTGGTGGAGCCAGGCAGAGGCACGGGGGTGGGGTGGGTGGGGAAGGCAGGTGATCCCAACATACCATCCACTCTGTCCGATCATCTCTCAGGTTGCCCATGGCTATGCAGGGCAGATTCCCGCGGGGGCCTCAGGATTGCCTGCCTTCCCCTTCCCCTGTGCCTCTCCCTCCTGCTGGTGCCCCCATGCAAGCCTCCCATGAGTCAGGCAGCTATGCAGCACATCTGGATCACCTGTCTCCTCTCCCCCGCCTCTGCGCTCAGACTTATCTGCGCTGTTCCAAGGGGCCAGCGGGCTGCGGCTGCTGTTGGACACCATCGGCCTCCGCATGCTCACCACTTCTTGTGCTGGCTATGCCCATCCCCTGGGGTAATTTTTGTGGTAATGCTTATATTAGGCCTATCCCAAAAAATCAGGCTAGGCTTATCTTCAGGGTGGGTCTTATCTTTGGAGAAACATAGTACAACCTGGATTCATACTTCAGATTAGACAAAGTCCCTGTCCCTGTGGTCAATTGACCAAACGTTAGGCACTGGAGTGCATTTCTGCCATTTGCAGCATCCCATAGTCACATGATTGTGTTTTATGATGGTGTTGCCAAAAACCAGCATTTATTTCCAATTTTCAGCAAAACTGCACCTAAAGTGAACCAATTTTTTTAATGTCTGCTATAAAAAAAGATCGTAAAATTGGGTTTGTCATGTTACTGACCCATTTACAAGTGTTTTATGACTTATGACTGATATTCAGGCTCCATTACAGTCGTAAATTGAGAATCACCTGTAGTCCTTAACGTTTTTTTTTGGCAAGATTTCAGAAATGGCTTGTTAGAAGTGGCTTGTTGATAATTTTCGAGGGCTGAAAGAGTGTGACTGGCCTGAAGTCACTCAACTGCCTTTGTACTTAAGGCAGGACTAGAATTCACCCTCTTCTAGTCCTTCTCGGATAAGAGTTGATTAAAGATTAATCAGATGTGTTTGAATCATCAAGACAATGCTGGTGACTATTCCTGATATACCTCATATATCATCTTCTTTCAAAATCACAAATGGAGAAAATAGCTTTTACAAGTTTGTATATGAGAATATCCTCTCAACATGATTGTCCTTATCATATGGAAAAGAGTTGTTTTTATAAGGGATGGCTGTTGTCACAATACTAGTTTTGTGGCTTGTAATTGAAAAGAATTTATTACATCTTGCAGGGGACACATGGACAGAGACACTGGCGTACGTGATGTTCTGGGGAAGTGCAAGTTTTGGAACTCTTGCTATCATCCTTTACAATGGCAAAGATTTTGTAGATGCACCTAGGCTAGTCCAAAAGGAAAAAATGGACTGAATTTGTGTGTGTGGAAAGCGGCTTGGTAGAGATGGCTCCTCAGTTCATACATGGAGTCTCTACTGACCTGCTTTCCACACCAATTTTTTTTGTGGGGGGGGGGGGCAGAGTTAGGTTTCATTTTTAAAGGGTGAGAAGGTGATTCCATTTGGTTACTTGATGGAAGGGACTTACCTTTTTGTTCTACAGTTACAATGATTTTCAGAGTATTGCATTTGTTAGACGACTTGCACACACAAGATGGAAGTGAAAGTCAGTAATGCTATGCCCTAACACAGGGATACCTGAATTCCTAAAGAATCTGTGACTATATTATTCCAGCAGTATATTATTATAAATCTTAGATAGCTCCATTGCTAAGGATTATGATCTGGTGTATCAAGAAATCTCTGTTGTTAGGTTAAAGTACGTATCATTTACCTTCTCCAATACATGGAAAAGCTTTGCTTATTAACCATAATAAATAATTGCTGCTTTAGTGATTTTGGATTGGGTATCCATATAAATTGGTAATATTGCAAATACGTTTTTTTTAATTAAGTCCAAGAGCATCTGTTTTCTTAGATTTCTATAAATACAGTACTTTTTTATTTTAAAAAAAAGTTCCTCCAGCTAGTAATGGATGAGAATAATGCAATATTCTGTTAAAACATTGTTGAGAGAATGAGATGTACAACTGATTTTCATGGGATATGTCTTGTGCTGCTTTAATTACTGTCCTTAGCTTTAGATAAATTTCCACATGATTCAATTTTTTTTTTTTAAAAAAAAAGATGTACATGAAATCAAAGAATGTAAAAATGGTTATTTAAACACTCTCTTGCTAAAGGTCCAAAGTATTCATTTCTTTTTGAAGAATCTCAAATGTCAGATGGAGTTTTGAAATCCAGCTACTATATCTGCTGCCTTGGATTTAAAAAGAATGATCTGTGGAAAATTGAATATTTAAAAAAAAAAGTCTTGGGAAATATTCCATGTTTGCACTTGGGATCAGCATCAACTTTTTGTGCATGCCATAACTATTTCTCTACAACTGTAACTATTAAAATGATTAAGCTATAATATAAGTCTTATGCTAATTATTAATAAATATGTCTCAACTCTAGTGCTTCCAAGCTTTCTATTGAAACTACATCTAAATCAAGGTCTACTTTCTAATTTATTTGGGTTCAAAACCAGACATGAATCAGCTTCAAGTGCAGTGCATTATTTTTTAGTAAATTCAGCTAGATTGAAATTATCTTATTTAAATACTAGGAGTTTGCGTAACAAGCTTCAGCAGATAAGCTTCAGATAAAAGTTGCTTCTCCTAAGTTAAAACTAAATGGATTGCTGCAATGTTTTCATAGTTTGAAAATTGAACCTCTTACTATATGGGCTTTGAAAACAAAAACTGCTATCTTTGAATGATTATGAGGTGGGTTTTTTTTTAAAAAAAATCCTTTTGGTTATTTGTAATAAACTCATGCCGTTCCTGTTTCCTTTTTAAATAATCCAGTTGAAAGAAGGTAATGGAGGCTTGAGTCTTCTCAAGAAAGCTATGCATTAAATGGATGGTCTCAATGTCATTTTTTTTCTTTTAAAAGACTCTTCCTTGATCCTTCTGTGAATTTCTTAAAAATAACTGCAGTAGACAAAAAGATCTGGGTAGTTCTAGTCGCTAGATGGAAACTCAAATTCTTTAAATTTGGGAATTGGGAGAATGTCTGTATTCCAATACTTTATAAAAGAGGTTGCAAACAATATACTTAAACAATAATAAAACTTCATTTTTTTGAAAATAGTATCTTTTGTGTCTGAATCGTAAATAGACAATGGGTACACTGGTATCCAGATAGGTATGATGAAAAGTAACAGGCAATCCTTCTCATTATGAAACTCCTCCTTTCATCAAATATCAATATTGTAAAATCATCCTGTATTATTTTCTATGTCTTGCAGATTGTTTTATGGCCATGCATTATGCTAGTACCAGTTTTATATCACTATCTGATTAACCAATTACATATCAAATTCATACAAGCAAATGAACTTTTCTTTTACTAGATTGCTATAAATGAAGACTGATATAAAATAAATTCAGTCTCTTGGAAATAAAAATGTAAAATAAATTTAAATAATTGATATAAACATTTAAGTAAAAATACATGGAATATCCTGACTTGTTTATCAGATCACAAGCTATGAAAGATTGTACAGGATTAATATTTTATGGAAGACAGTACATGAAAACTCATGTTTACCTGAAAGCTAAAATAAAAGTTGTCCGGGCCTAGAAAATGAGAAATCTGCAATACTAATCTAATGGTGTTTTATACACTTCTAAATAGTTATGCACTTCTACTGCAAAAGGTTCAAATGCAAAAGATTATCTTGCATTTCAGTATATAAAAGAGTCGTGTGTTTTGGAGGTTTTATCCCTACCTCAAAAAACAACAATGCAATGTTTAAAGTATTCTAGCAATTTCTAGTGCTGCAATTGGCTCATGCTTTAAAACAATATTTCTATCCTAATCAATACAGAAGCAGGGATAATTGTGATTGTCTTAGAGTTGAGGAATTGTGGAAAAAGTAGCACGGTCATCTTTGGACCAGGATTGCAATGATTATGAGTGAAATATCACTGGTAAGACTGGCTGCCTTATCTCAGGTAGTTTGTTCAAGTCTGCTTTAATTCTAATTTTTTTTAATTAATAATTTTATTTTTTATTACATAGACAACATCACATAACAATAGAGAAAAAAAAAGAGGGAAAAGGAGAGAGAAAAAAAGAAAAAAAAAACCATCATCACATACAATATGTCATTTGATCACAGGTGCATCCCTACTACGTTTTCCCCCATATACACATCTCTGTTGTATATTCA